GGATCAAAGACCTGAATGTACATCATGAAACCATAAAACTCCTAGAAAAAGACATAGGCAAAAATCTCTTGGACATAAACATGAGTGACTTCTTCATGAATAAATTTCCCCAGGCAAGGGAAACAAAAGCAAAAATGAACAAGTGGGACTATATCAAACTAAAAAGCTTCTGCAGCAAAGGACACCACCAAGAGAACAAAAAGGCATCCTACAGTATGGGAGAATATATTCATAAATGACAGATCCGATAAAGGGTTGACACCCAAAATACATAAAGAGCTCACGCACCTCAACACGCAAAAAGCAAATAATCCAATTAAAAAATGGGCAGAGGAGCTGAACAGACAGTTCTCCAAAGAAGAAATTCAGATGCCCAACAGGCACATGAAAAGATGGTCCACATCGCTAGTCATCAGAGAAATGCAAATTAAAACTACAATGAGATATCACCTCACACCAGTAAGGATGGTCACCATCCAAAAGACAAACAACAACAAATGTTGGTGAGGTTGTGGAGAAAGGGTAACCCTCCTACACTGCTGGTGGGAATGTAAACTAGTTCAACCATTGTGGAAAGCAGTATGGAGGTTCCTCAAAAAAACTCAAAACAGAAATACCATTTGACCCAGGAATTCCACTTCTAGGAATTCACCCTAAGAATGCAGCAACCCAGTTTGAAAAAGACATATGCACCCCTATGTTTATCGCAGCACTATTTACAATAGCCAAGAAATGGAAGCAACCTATGTGTCCATCAATCAGTAGATGAATGGATAAAGAAGATGTGGTACATATACACAATGGAAGATTATTCAGCCATAAGAAGAAAACAAATCCTACCATTTGCAACAACATGGATGGAGCTAGAGGGTATTATGCTCAGTGAAATAAGCCAAGCAGAGAAAGACAAGTGCCAAATGATTTCACTCATATGTGGAGTATAAGAACAAAGAAAGAACAAAGGAAGAAAACAAAAGCAGAAACACGGAATCCCAGAATGGAGTTAACAGTTACCAAAGGGAAAGGGACTGGGGAGGATGGGTGGGAAGGGAGTGATAAGGAGGGAAAAAGAAAGGGGGCATTACGAATAGCATGCATAATGTGTGTGGGGTGCACGGGGAGGGCTGTGCAACACAGAGAAGACAAGTAGTGATTCTACAGCATCTTACCACGCTGATGGACAGTGACTGTAATGGGGTTTGTGGGGGGTACTTGTTGATGGGGGGAGTCTAGTAAACATAATATTCCTGTGTAATTGTAGATTAATGGTACCAAAAAAAAAAAAACCAATATGTATCTGGCCTGAGCACCCACTGTAGGCTACACATTTAGAATTGTACTCTTCAGTAAAAGCTTAAAGAGAGCTGTGAAAAGGCACCTGAGAGTCCTGCTGCCAACATTCCCCTTAATAATTTTTCCCTTTCAGAGTAAGTCCATCCTGGAGCAAAAAAGTCAACTTGGCTATAAGATGGCATAGAGATGAAGTATCTAGCCATATTAACTACCAGGCAATGATGGGATACTGCATTTATGCATTCCACACAAAAGCAGCCATGGACACCAAACCACACTGTCACCTGGAGGTAAAAACAGAAATCACTTCTTCAACTGACATGATAAGAGGCTTAATTTTATTGATAGGACTGAATTTTCTCATTTCTTTAGCTTTTTATAACTGCTCCTCCCCTGCCAGTCTAAAGTAAAAGATTCAATCTGAAAACAAGAACTCTGTCATGAAGAATCAGAAAAGAAAGGAAGGTCTCTTGACATTCACTTCTTTAACTTCTTCTTTTCCAGGGAATTCTGAGGGAAGAAGTCTGTGCTAAGCAGCCTATTGATAGCTGTATCTCCCTCAGAGGGACAGGGGGCATAGCTGAAGGATGCATCTTCCTCTGGCCTACCTTCTAAAGACTAGCCTCTTCTGACCTTTGAATCTATTTCTCACAAAATCTGTTGGTCAGGCTGGCTCTTTCTTTGCTTATTTACTCTAAACTAAGCAGTCCTGAAAATGAAGGTCAGGCAGTGCTGATTACCTGCAGGAATCTACCCATGGATCCTTGAGGAGAAAAAGCCCAAGGGTTTCTACCCCAGAAATATAAAAGGAGGAATGAGAGGGACAGTTCCTAAAGCTAAACTCAAGCCTAACCACTTATGAAAGGTGGATTTCCTGTACAACTGTTCTGTCAAGCAGAGGATTAAGCACTTCATACATTCTGCTTTGGTAAAAGACATGGACAGAAGTGAATTGCCACAGAGGAGCAAACTGCTTTACTGAAGGGTCTCTTGGGTGGCTGTATGCTGGAACACAAAAAGTTTCATTGTGAACTGAACTGCTCAACTAGAGTCAACCTGCATACACAACAAAGGCATGAAGTTGTGAGGTCCCCATCTCCAGCATCTCACACATTGGCATTAAGCTCTATTGGTCCCATAGAGACACCTGCGTTTCTCTCTCTCTCTGGAGGCAAACGTGCACCCCCTCCACCTCCTGAAATTCAATATTCCTAACAAACCATAAAAGCAAGCATAAGCAATGACAAAGCCACACCAGCCTAGCCCCACCTCAATCGCAGCCCCTACATGTTCCTTAAGAGCAGGGAGCACCAATGGCACACACAAGAAGTGTCTCTTGGGTGCCCTCTTGCTGCCGACAGGGCTTTTCTACAAGGCTGAAATGGAGGCCTCCTCTGACTACGAACTGGTAGAAGAGGAAAAAGACGGGGCCAGGACACAGAAAAGGGAAGTTATTCCAGTGGTGGCCAATGAATAACATCCAACGATTTATAGGAAGTATAATCCAATAATACAGTAAAATAAAACAGTGTGTGCTTGAGATGGTTTTGATTCCAGGAATTATAAAACATATTTTTTAAAAAAGAGGGAGTGCAAAGAGGGTAAGAAGGGGGGGAAAAAAAGAGAAAAAGGCCAGATTAGAGCAAATTGGGCACAGATGGGGGATGCAATAGGGTTTCAATGATGCCCTACTACAAATGTTGCTTCAATTATTCCTCTTCAAGAAACTAGTTTTACTTTCTTAAGAATTTCTAAAAAATTAAAATTCTTGGAATGCTTGTGGTTTAGATCAACAGTTCATTCGTCCTCCAGCACCATGTCAGCCAATCAGACAGCTACCGAAGTGTTAAATGCTGAAGCACGTGGAGGAGGCCCCATTTCTCCCTTCAGGCTCAGGAATGTTGTAGAGGAATTACCAACTGTGACATCACTCTGGGAACCACCTATCTCACCACCACCCATCACTCACCAAAGGAAAATTCTGGACACCAGCCATGTCAGAACACACTGTTCAATGAGAGCTGGCTTGCCCAGACTCTCTGTGGCCTTCTTCATCCATGCATTCAACAAATACTGAGTGTCTAATACATACCAGGAACTATGCTGAGGGCTCCCAAACACCCCTTAGTCAATCTGTCCCCAACCACTTCAGTACAGAATGTTAGGATTCTAGACTCTCTGTAGCATCACTGAAGTTATAACGAAGTGTTAAATGCTGAAGCACGTGGAGGAGGCCCCATTTCTCCCTTCAGGCTCAGGAATGTTGTAGAGGAATTACCAACTGTGACATCACTCTGGGAACCACCTATCTCACCACCACCCATCACTCACCAAAGGAAAATTCTGGACACCAGCCATGTCAGAACACACTGTTCAATGAGAGCTGGCTTGCCCAGAACTGTGGCCTTCTTCATCCATGCATTCAACAAATACTGAGTGTCTAATACATACCAGGAACTATGCTGAGGGCTCCCAAACACCCCTTAGTCAATCTGTCCCCAACCACTTCAGTACAGAATGTTAGGATTCTAGACTCTCTGTAGCATCACTGAAGTTATATTTTTGCATAGGGGCCACATGAGAGGAGGAGATAAAGGTCTCTCTGCTAACTGGCCTGCTTCCATAAGTTTTAAGATCACCAGAGACCTGAAAGTTTAGTCTGGTTACATGATATGGCAAAACTCAACTTGTTTTTCCCTATGGGAATGGGGGCAAATCTGACCTCACAACCTCTGCTTCCCTGAGCTCCAGTGAAAACCATAACCTAGGAAAAGCGAGAAGATGTCTTTCTCTCACCACCATCTAATTTTTTTTCCCTCCATTTTGCTTTGAGAGGTATCCAAAGCTTTTAAACAGTTCTGTCTCTTCGGACCACAAGGAAAGCACATTTGAAAAGTAATCATAGTAAAATGTTAGTAACAGTATAATTTTTATCTCTGGACTACTGGTATTTCAAAAAGAAGACAGTCATACAAGGGTAGCATTGAACACAAAACAATGAATTAAAGGCGTTAGTAAAGGACACACTTTCAATAAGGACATTCAAGTTGCTCTTCCACTCTTTAGGTACCACATCTACAGGGAAGGCTGCCCCGACACAGACTGAGAGGCTCCCAACTGCTTGGGGGCCACAGATCACCTATGCTTCAGGCTAGACTGCTCCTTCTCCAGAGACTCCACAAACTGACATATGCAAACACCCACCCAGAAGGACATGTCCAAAAAAGAATGGAAGGAAAAATGATGGCCCAGATGTCCTGTTAACTTGCAGTGACTGCCAAATCACCACAGACCCCAAGCACCTGGGAGAGCCAGGCAACGTCAGGCCCTGCCTTCCCAGTTTCAGACAGCCAGGGTCTCATGGCTGGGTGGTGACTCCGACAGCAAGCAGACTGGCCTGGAGAGAAGCCTTTTAGAAGGGCACTGGCTGGCTTGGGGCTCAACACCCAGGGCTGATTTATCACTTCCTTACTCATAAAAATGTGATTCAAACTGCTGCTGATTAGTGAAGGATTTAAATCTTTACCCTCTCCCCAACCCCCGTCCCTCTCCACCCCCAGCACAGATGCTGCTACTCAGTCCCAACACTCCCTTCTTGCCACTGTCCGTGCAAGCACAGCACAGGGGCCCAGAGAAGATGACTCATGTGCTGGGAAATGGAAAAGTGCATCTTCCCACCAGCCAGCCCTGCTGAGTGCTCTGCTCACCGCTTTCCCAATGGCAGCCCACACAGTGGGGTCTGGACGGCTGCCTCAGCTGCACACCGGGTACTTGGCAGCACGTCCACAGAGCTCTCTGTCCTAGTTGATTGGTATATCCTGTGGCCCAGGCTGTTTTTCCCTGAAACACCCTTGGAGCTTTTGACCACGTCATACTCTTCTTGGCCCCAGCTGCCTCATGGAGGTGAGCATCAGGACAAGGCCAGAAATGAGTAGTAGGGTCCCAAGTGCAGGCTTTGACATGTCCATCCTGGCTAGTGAGTCCTCCTTATGACCAACTGTAGAAAAGAGTCTAGAAAAAGTACCTTGGCCTAAAATGGTGGAACCACCTATTTCCTTTTTTCTCTCCTCACCATTTCACCTTCCTTTCACCTGTATTTTCTTAACCTTTACTTAGCTACACCTATAAGAAAAGGACTCACTGGCGGCCTATGGAAAGGCCAACGTATTCCTTTTCATGGAGCAGAAGCTGCTGACAACAGATGCTTCCCAGGCCAAGAGCTACAGGTCCTTCACATTCACACCTCCTGAGACCACAAGGCACTTGATGCTAGAAGAATCCAGGCAGAGGCTACAGCTCTGTGACAGGCAGCTTACTGACATCTGTCTGTATGTTGTTGTTAGGAGGAGGCAAGAAAATGAATAAGAGGGCACTCCAGGAGGCTCCATTTCCTGTTACCCACTTGATAACAGAATGAGCAGAGCAATGATGAAGGAACCAATTTCCCTCCCCTTGGACTTCACAGCCTCACCTCCACAGCTCTTTATAAACTTTATTTCCTCCTTCCTGAAAACCACCATTGCCCCTCAGGATTGCATGCTTCCTCAGAGCTGTCCTCAAGAATAATTAGCCAAGTTCAAAATAGCACCTAAGCCTCTGCATCTCACCTTTTGCTAGAATTCTCAATACTGTAGTAAGCAGCATGTGAGGAGAAAATCTTCTAGGATTCAGATGTGACTGAAAATCCAGGCAGACTAGCAGAGAACCTTGCAGAGTCCCAGGAGGAGTCAAGTTTCAGGGCAAAGAGTGGCATACGCACTCATCAGAGGAGAAACTCCCCACCCTACCAGCAAGCAGGAGCATAACCTCCAAATACAAATGGGAAGGGAACTAAATCACTTCAGAGAGAAAGCCTAAGAAAAGATACAGTAAGAGAAGTAGCGATACTCTGTCCAAAAAGGCCAGGTTTATTTTACAACAGCATCTCCATGGAGCAGTTCCCACTTCCTGGTATTTCAGACAATTACCTTCCAAGCGCTGAGACCAAACACTCTGTAAGTGCTCTGAAACAATTCTTTGGTATGGACCAAGTCCTCCTTGCAAACACACACACAAAATTATATTACCCCCATACTACATATTATCATCAAGTCAAATCACATCATCCTTACCGAAATGGGATGGAGGGAAGGGAAAGGATCCTGGTAACATTCTTTGACTGTGGCCTGGTCTTCAGAACATTAAAAAATCTTGCCAATCAGCCCCTTTCCCCTACCTTCCACATCAAAAACACCCACTGTTCAGAAAGCATTTCAGAAGGCATACCAGTACATTAGCCAAATTCTGGGCCTGGTGATTTTTGTGCTTCCAGCTTTGAGTCAACAACGCTCATCAATTCTCTGTTCTTACTCACTGGCAGGCTCCCACAAGGGATATCCCATAGGGAACTAGACTTTTCCATATTGAACAAACAGGGTACATGAGTCCAGAAACAGCTCTTCCCAATCCCTGCCAAGCGTATGGTCTCTGCAGTGAAACATTTCAGCAATGCCTCTCCCCTGGGAGGGGCTCTAGGTCTGCAGCCTCCAAGAGGACTTGCTGCTGCCTTTAGCACGGCCAGATGTGCGACACCATCTCTCGGCTTGCAAATAAAGCTCTATACTCATGATTCCCTCATTCCAACCCACCCAAGTACTAGAGAGTCATACAGATTTCAGAGAGTAAATTAAAGATCTGAGAGGCAGTGGTAGGGGAGGGTATGTGTGTTGGGGGGCGTGTAGTGGTATGGTAGCATAGCAAAGAAGCGAGATTAATGGTTATCTGTCTAGATAAAGAAACTGGACATTCCTTACCTTTCAGCTGGGAGTTGTGTACAGCAAACATGTTGATGGTCATAAGTTGCAGCATACGTGTACTTCCAACAGGAGAGGGACTGTGCTGCAGCAACACCTGGAACTCCCTGAGGACCTTCTCAGCCACTGCAGGGAATGTCTCCATCCTAAAAATACAGCCAGCCGATCAGTGAGGCACAGTCCCAAGAGAACCTGATACCTGTGTACATACATACACACAAACTTTCTCTCTCTCTGAAAGTAGATAATTAAAGCCTAGAACTTTGCTATGTTCACAAATCTTCCTGGTATCCTAAGGTTGTGAACAAACTTAACAGAAAGAAGTATTCAGGGTTTGGAGATGGAAACAACTCAATTTTTGGATAATCACTATGAATTATGCTTTGGTATGTTATTTCCTAACCCCTGGCAATAACTGGATTCAAGCTAAAATCAAAGTTTCTCTCTGAAACAATCAGTTTTTCTAAATTGTGAACAAATTTCCTTTAAGCTCTAAGACCTACATATACCCCAAACTCTCTGGTATGTAAACTGTATTGATAAAAAGAGGTTCATAAATCTAAAGATTCTTTACTCAAGGCTTTACTTCAGGAAACCAGGCACAGTTCTGCTGCTGTCTTCTTGGGCACAAATCACACCAATTACTCCACCTAAAGATCCCCGATTTCCCCTTGAAGAATCCCTAAACCTAGGGCCCCAATGAGCTGTTTCAGCTTTTCCTGTGTTGCTGTCCTCCTCCCTTTCATAAGCCTCTGCTCATCAGGGTCTGTATGTTTTCAGGCCAGTGGAAATATAATGCCCTGGCCAACTGCCACTCCCAATACAGGAAGAGCCTGTCATGTAGGGAGGCAGAAATCCAGCCAGTGACCTAGGGCTCCTAAAGAGAGGTCATTCAAACCATTGCTTGCCAAATGTGGCCACTGGATCCCAAACAGTGATGCACGCCTGGAGCTCCCCTGGAAACAGGAAGAAACCACAGCTGAAGTCCTCAGAAATAAAAAGCAAATTCAAACTTGGTGCTAGAGAAAGAAACCAGGCACATGGGCCTTAGGACAATGCTGAACAATTCGTGGTCAGCAAAGTATCTTTTATCCATCTTCAACTCCACCCTACCCCCAAACAAACAAACTGCCTTTTGGTACACTGTGGGGTGGGGTGAGGAATAGTTCTAGGTTTCATTAATAAATAGCTTCTGGAAAGCACAGGGAATGGAATCCTTAGCAAAAGATTTAGAACAGTTTCAAATCCTACAGAAAGGTGCTTCTAGTTTCACCTGAACCTTGGCCTTTTCATGCTGAGTAGTAGTACTCTCCCCCAATTAGAAAACTACAGAACTTTCTGGCATTTTGTCAACCTTCATTCCTTGTCCTAAGATGTCAAGTCCTATCACTGACCTTCTAGTACCCAGAAGTCATGCCACAGCTATGGGTCAATTATAGTTTATATTCCAGTTTCCTTTTCTGCTGACTGTCCTCATTTTCATTGGCATAAAACATGCCATGCACTTGCTTTTTTCCTGCACATGCCATTTAAAGCCCCCTCCATGCCCCCCAAAAAAATACAACCCTCTCCTTTTTTTAACCCCCTCTGAAGAGTTTCAGAACTATTAAAACTCTTGGTAGGCTTAGAATGGCAGAGAATATGTTTGGTGCTGGACTGGATCCATTTTTCCCCATGGATTATAACAAAGATTTCATTTTAAATCCTGACACTGTGCAGCACTCTTTCTGGTCGGAGGTGGGGAGGGGGCTAGCACTTCTCATTACAAGAATAGCAGAGTTCACTCTGCTTGAAAAGCAGCTACAATGGGCAAGTTTCAGAGCCATGTGTCTCCGTGTTGAAAGGTGGTAGAGAGCCAGTACAGAACGACATGACAGAAATGTCACGTGGGACAGTCTTGCTTCGAAACTGTGTCTGCGGAAGCCTGTTCCCTGGGATGGGAATTGAAACAGATCCATTAACACTCCCTAAGTCAGACTGAAGTCTCAAACAAGCACCAAGCCAAATAAATGTCCACATCTTATTTTTATGTTTGTCAAAAAATTCTCCCTTTACCTTTCAATGGGTTCAACATGATTAAAACATAAAAGAGTTAAATGCATAAATATATGCTCAAGTAATTTCTATTCTGAAATATGAGGGAAGATGATCTACTCAGACAAAATCAGCTTTGTCAGGCAATAATTGAGGGATGCATAGATAAAAGATTCTTCCTCAGAGTTTAATAATGGGGTTTCTGGTTCCCAATTTTATGACTAAAATGCTGTATGATTTTGGCCTCAAATTACCTATAAAATAATTTTATGTCCTTCTCTCTGTTCCACCCCATATTATAGAACAAAAAATATACTAAAATTAAAATAATGACAGTATAAACTTTATGTTTGTAAAAAGCCCACAATATAAAATCATTGTTTTTATGGACACATATGTAAGTATGGTAATGCAGTAAAAAGGTTCTGGAAGAATACATATCCTGATGTCTACTGTTATCTCTTTGGAGAGCCCAGGGGTTGAGGAAGAGTTGAAAGAAATTTTAGCCTTAGCTGTAATTTTGTTTTTATAGTAAGATTTGTAAATTGCTTATATAACAATTATAAAAGTTTTAGCCAAGCAGCAGCTGCAGCAGTAGCAGAGGAGGAGGAGGAGGAGAAGCATAAGAGAAGGTCGTTCACGACAGCAGAAAATGGGGCAGCTAAGATACTCAGCAGGAGCAGATGATCAAGACAGCACATCTGGACAACCAAATTCTATTTTTTGAAAGTTATATTAGACTTTTTTTCATCATGAGGGGGAAGTTCAGAATATATTAAGTGAAAACAGTTTTAAAGTAGTTTAATATTATCTCTTTATACATATGTGCAAAAAATAAGTGTGTGTGTGATATACAGAAAAAAAGATAAAATACACAATAAGTATTAACAGTAGACAATACTCTCTGGATAGTGCAAATATGGGTAATTTTTTCTTCTTTCTGCTGGATTTTCTAAATATTTTACAATAAGCACTGTACACAGTAAAAATTTCTCCTATAATACTTCTGGCTTTTGTTTATAAATCATTCATAATTTTAAAAATAAATCAAGACAACACAAAACATACTTTCAACAATTCAAAGTCCAAAATAAATATATCAATCCTTGAATTCCAAGAGACCTTGAAGCTGTGCGTATTACATGACTAGGCAAGCAAGTAAATACTAAAGTGGCAATAATGGGAAGCAAAATTATCCTATTTATGACAAATCAAAAATCTACACGCTGGCTGCTTCCCCGCCTCTCTCAGTGGTTCAAATGCAGGTCTGATCTACCTCTCTCCAGGGAAGCGATTATCTGTCAGGAGCCATACGGCAGCCCTGACTGATTCCTCTTACTGAGCCCAAAAGGATTCTTTCCCTATCCTTTAAAACTGCAGAAAAGACAATCATTTTCAGGATATGTTTCGCCAACTAAGTGACTGCTTTCTGAAGTGATCTCTAGAGATACCCTGTCTCATTTGAATGGCAGTTTCAAGAAACCAATCTTTCAGACAACACTGGGACCTAAACCCAGGAGTGACTCAGACAGTGACTAACAGGGCAGGACCCAATCTCTCAGATGCTGAGGAACACAGCTAGGCTAGACAACATTCTCTATAGGAAAGAATCAGGCTTCCTAAGTTTTCTTAACTTCTTACTTTTCAAATCTAAACTATAAGATAGGAGCAAGCCAGTAGAAAGCAAAAACAAAAACAAAACAGATTAGGTTGTGTGACAAGATAGAAATGAGAGGAAAATCAGAGTGCTAGAAAACATACGGACTGGAATGGACCTTAGAGATCATCTATTTAAACTGCTGATAAGAAAACCGAAGCCCACCAGAGGCTCTGGCTTGTTCACTCTTGAGGTCTTCTAATTAGTCAGTGGTGAAAAACAAACCCCTTTTAGCACCTGACTCCATCTAAAACTTCAAACCTCTTTGTCACTGGCTACTGAGAGTAAGGTAACTTGTGCACACAGTAGGTATTCAAGCATATACTGATGCAATTTGGAACAGTGGGCACAGAGAAGACAAAGACTGGGAGAGCAAGAGTGGGGTTTTCTCACAAGGCAGGGAGGACAGTGGATGTGCCTTCAGCTGCTCCCCATCACAACCTCCTCACTCTTGATTCATTTTCAACACCTCCCACATTTCACATCTTCTTGGTAATTAGGCAACAGTCCATGTTGTTGTGTGTGGCTTCGGCTCACTGCTTTTCTAGTCTTTCAGACGTCTATACTTTTTTGTTTCCAACAGAAAACTTATTGCTATTTCTGCCTTCCAGAATAAATATGGGGCTCAACTCTCATATGCCTCCAGGAGAGCACAAGAGGAATACCCATCAAGGGGCTGGAATGCCTCGAATTTACATACATTTCCTCATGTGAACACTACTATAACTCATTTTTTACGAAGGTGAAACTGGACTGGCCTTTTTGCCAACAAAGTATGTTATCTTCAAGAATGGAAGAGATCCTGAAAAATAATCTCAACCACAGCAAACCATGTCTGACAAATGACATAATCTATTCTTTTTTAAAGGCTTCCAGAGAAGAAAATTCCCAAACATCTTTCCCTCTGTGAAATTTTCTTACACCTAACCCACATATCTCCAGCTGCAACATAAGACTATCTTCTCTTGCTGTCCTACCATAGAAATCAAAACTATCTGGTTATGACTCATTTATATTTAAACACAGGGTACTCCACAGCTGTCTCTAAATAAACCTTTTTCACCTTAATTTTCCTTTAAGATTTATTTTTTCTCTCAGGAAACATTTTCTAGCTATTTAATCATTATTACAGTTTATTCCCAAGCTTCTCCAAAATGTATCTAAATATGAGAGTTTTAAAAGGGAGAAAAAGGGAAAAAAAAGCTTCTAACTAATATTAACTGGACAAAAATACATCCTAAACATCCCTACATTCTGGACCAAAATTTATAATTTCTTTAGTCCCAAAAGTCTCTAACAGAGCTAAGAAATACCTAGAGCAGTGGTTCTCAACCAAGAGCAATTCTGCTCCCCAGGGAACATTTCACAATGTCTAGAGACTTTTTTAATTGTCGTGACTGGTGGGGAAGGGAAGGGATGCTACTGGCATGTAGTGGGTAGAAGCATGGTATGCTGTTAAGCCTCCTACAATGCACAGGACAGTCCCCCTACAACAAGAAACTATAAGGCTCAACATATCAATAGTACAGAGGTTGAGAAATCCTGACTTAACAGCAACATGATACATTAAAATTAAAAGAATAAACATAGAACAAGGAAAAAATGAGTAGAAAGGAAGTAAGGGAAAGAAAGATTTTCAAAATGAGAACTACAAAAGGTAATAAAGAGGGATGGAACCCTAGTACCTATTTTATGTGTAGGAAATGGTATTTCCGGCTATGATGTGTTATTTTATGAAATGGTATTAGTATCACCTTGCCAACCTTGTAACTGCAACTTTACATTACTGACTAGTGACTGGCCTGAGTGCACAAAACCTACTAGAATACTAAGATCATTCTCTCCAGTCTCTCACTATCTATCCATTTCTTGTAATAACTCACTCATTCATACAACAAAAATTCACTGAACACTTACCATTTGCCCAGGCATTAAGGATACAACAATGTTAGGCAAGAACTCCTGCCAAACTACAGCTTATATAGGAGCAGGCCAGGAGGTGAGAGCAGAGCTGCTGATGCATCTAGTTTACTTTTCCTAAATGAATTATTTTACACTTATTTCTACTAATATAGATGTAACTATTGGCACTACTCCCAAGTTTCCCCAAGTCATTTCAAAATCAAGACTATACTTGTGACCACATCACTGTTACTCTTGTCCAGGTAGATGAAAAATGAATAGAAAATAAGCACACTTTCTACTAAGCCATCCATGTTACAGTGTTTCTTCAAGCAGAACGAAGCCTTCTCCCACTAAAGAAAGCTTCTGGAGAATTACAGATAAACCTACAAGATTATGATAAAGTGAAGAGGAACACTGACAACTGGGAGATCTCTAAGCCAAAACAAATCACCTCAAAGGGTAGCTCACAATAAAAGCTTTAACTCTTTCAAAGATTAAAATGTAGTAGAAGACCTGTCTGAGAACACTGCTACCTATTCCTCTCTTAGACGAAAGAGGCAATCATAACACATCTGCTCTGGGGTACAGGAATTAGTCAGGCTTTAAAATCACTAGTTTTACACAGTGATGAAAAACTGATCCACCAAAGAAATACTCAAAACTTGATCTCTTTTCAGGGATTTAATGGGTGAAGTAACAGGGTTTTGCACAAACCACCTTCCTTGAGATTTATATGTAAATCCATGGTGGATGATGAAACCATAGAAAGGTCTTAGCATTTACTGAGATCAGCAATAAGGCACAGGAACCTGAACACAGAAGTAAGGGGTCATAGTTCAGAAGGAAGAGAATTGTTGGAGAAAAAGTGTTACTCTTCTCTTCAAGGGAACATCAGTGGATAGTATTCTCTTCAAGGAGGACCCCTGGCAGCTGTACCAGGGACTGAACATGACTTCCTTGAGGAGCTCACTAGGGGCTGAGACGGAAGGCAGAGGAAAGAGAAAACCAGAGAGATTAAGGGGTGGGGGTTGGGAAAAGACTGTGTTTAAAAGGGGATTATAGTGAAGGTAGGGACAGAAGAGACAAAGGGATAGAGTAATATTTCCCAAACTTCATGAGCACAGTAGGATAGTGAGTGAAGGGAAGAGAAGGTGGAGGCCTCTAAGAATTCACACCCTGTGCCCTCAGTTACAAACACAGTCTAGTTGCTAACAATATTAAATTCCAAAATGACTTGTAATGTAGGAAAATAAAATAAACATCCTGCACACTTACCCAATCCGGGTAAACAGCTTCCCATGGGCATGGAGAAAACTGAGGATGAACCTTTTGTTCAGCTGCATGGGAAAAAGAGAGAGGAGAAAACAATTAAACTTTCCCCAGTTTCCTGTTACTGAACAGAGTCCCTAGTGACACAATAACCTGGCCAGGGTCTAAGGGTTGGGCACTAGGGATAGGAACAGAATGAACATGCCCAATCTCACACAGACCCAGGGCACATGCCCAACAGCTGTGGCTCCGCTGAGCCAAAGTGACAGCAGGCTCAGTGAGCAGACAGCACCCTCTGCTGGAAATGGTGCCTGTGTGCAGGGAATGAAGCGTTGAATCGGAACGAAGCTGGGTAGAAAGGAAGATGCCTTCTTCACCTCTCTAGAGATCTAAAAGCCACTGTTGCCCCATAATGATGGAAATAAATACTAACAAGGATAGGGATAATACTGATTTTGAATAAGTCCCTAATCTTATTTATAAACTATATTTTACCCACCCAAGAAAGGACTCTTCTTTGGTAACCAAAGAATTACAGATAAACCTACAAGATTATGATAAAGTGAAGAGGAACACTGACAACTGGGAGATCTCTAAGCCAAAACAAATCACCTCAAAGGGTAGCTCACAATAAAAGCTTTAACTCTTTCAAATATTAAAATGTAGTAGAAGACCTGTCTGAGAACACTGCCACCTATTCCTCTCTTAGACGAAAGAGGCAATCATAACACATCTGCTCTGGGGTACAGGAATTAGTCAGGCTTTAAAATCACTAGTTTTACACAGTGATGAAAAACTGATCCACCAAAGAAATACTCAAAACTTGATCTCTTTTCAGGGATTTAATGGGTGAAGTAACAGGGTTTTGCACAAACCACCTTCCTTGAGATTTATATGTAAATCCATGGTGGATGATGAAACCATAGAAAGGTCTTAGCATTTACTGAGATCAGCAATAAGGCACAGGAACCTGAACACAGAAGTAAGGGGTCATAGTTCAGAAGGAAGAGAATTGTTGGAGAAAAAGTGTTACTCTTCTCTTCAAGGGAACATCAGTGGATAGTATTCTCTTCAAGGAGGACCCCTGGCAGCTGTACCAGGGACTGAACATGACTTCCTTGAGGAGCTCACTAGGGGCTGAGACGGAAGGCAGAGGAAAGAGAAAACCAGAGAGATTAAGGGGTGGGGGTTGGGAAAAGACTGTGTTTAAAAGGGGATTATAGTGAAGGTAGGGACAGAAGAGACAAAGGGATAGAGTAATATTTCCCAAACTTCATGAGCACAGTAGGATAGTGAGTGAAGGGAAGAGAAGGTGGAGGCCTCTAAGAATTCACACCCTGTGCCCTCAGTTACAAACACAGTCTAGTTGCTAACAATATTAAATTCCAAAATGACTTGTAATGTAGGAAAATAAAATAAACATCCTGCACACTTACCCAATCCGGGTAAACAGCTTCCCATGGGCATGGAGAAAACTGAGGATGAACCTTTTGTTCAGCTGCATGGGAAAAAGAGAGAGGAGAAAACAATTAAACTTTCCCCAGTTTCCTGTTACTGAACAGAGTCCCTAGTGACACAATAACCTGGCCAGGGTCTAAGGGTTGGGCACTAGGGATAGGAACAGAATGAACATGCCCAATCTCACACAGACCCAGGGCACATGCCCAACAGCTGTGGCTCCGCTGAGCCAAAGTGACAGCAGGCTCAGTGAGCAGACAGCACCCTCTGCTGGAAATGGTGCCTGTGTGCAGGGAATGAAGCGTTGAATCGGAACGAAGCTGGGTAGAAAGGAAGATGCCTTCTTCACCTCTCTAGAGATCTAAAAGCCACTGTTGCCCCATAATGATGGAAATAAATACTAACAAGGATAGGGATAATACTGATTTTGAATAAGTCCCTAATCTTATTTATAAACTATATTTTACCCACCCAAGAAAGGACTCTTCTTTGGTAACCAAGGTAACGTAACCTACCCACTAACTAGCTCATCCAATTGTACTTCTCCAGCTTTTAAAACTAAAGTTCAAGTTCTAAGTCTGGAGCTGGAAATTCAAGTGTTACGTGGGCCAGGTATGAAATAGGCTGGTGGGAAGAGTACCAATCTATGGCTGTTCCTCTCAGTTCAGCTCTTTGTGGGTCTAGTATTATCATTTCTTTCTTTCTCTTTAAAAGAAAAGCTGAAAGCTAAGTTTTTGTATGAAATTCTCTGGCTTTAGATGTCAGCTACTAATGAAAAAAAATTTAAACATTATGTAAGCCAAAACACACCATTTGCCAGTCACATCTGGCCCATGAACTACCAAATTTACAATCTCAGTTCAAGGTTCTAGAAAATCTACTTCTGTCAAAACTGAAAGGAGAGATTCCTCTGAGAAAAACAAGGTCAGCTAAAAAAACTCCAAAAAAAGTGGAGATAACCCAAAGACCAAACCTTATTATCTTCCCTGGTCTCCTAGAAGCAATATGCCCAGGGCCCTGTAGTGAGACAGGGAGAGGGGTCATGATTCTTGACCTCAAGGGGGTGGTTAGGGCAAGGAATAGTCCAGCAGCCCTGGATACTTTGCCCAAGAGGGAAAACTCTTCTGGTTTATCTCCCTGCAAAACAGAATACCAGTCAATTTATGGCAGTTCCACCTATTTTACATGGAAGCTAGGTATGGGCAAAGGAGTGCATTCCCATCTCATCAGTGATTCCAAAAGCAAATTTCATACAAGCTTCAGTCTTTATTTTTGCTCAAACGAATATTTAATCAGCTGTACTAGATCTAACATTGACTTATATAGTTAAAAAGCTCACGATACTTCATTGAAGGTAACCTGTCTCTACTGTGAAGTGAGTCAGGGCCAAGTTCACTTGGGTTCCATGAACAAAAGGGAAAGATGAAGAACTGCCGCAAGACAAATTGTCAATGGTTTATACCACTGTTGGCAGTAAAACCTGGGCTAGAAGGCACGTCTCCAGATCTACAAGTAGAGGAAGATAGTGAAAAACATGGGCTTCCCTGTCAAACATCTGCCATTTACCTGTTGCGGGATCTCAGACAACTGATCTAACCTCCCTAAGTTTTTCCTTCTCCACACAATGGAGATAACAGTATCTATATGTTAATGGGTTGGTGCATGAGATTACAGCAAGTAAAACCATGCCTGACATGTTGTAAACACTCAATTGTCAGCATTCTCTCCTGAAGAGTGAGCAACATATGATGAAATGTTAACTGGAGAATCCAGGCCAAGGGCATTGGGGGTTATTTGTATTATTCTCACAACTTTTGTACAGATATGAAATTATTTCAAAATAAAAAATATATATATATATATTCTGTCTCTATTCCTATTTTAACTCAATTATCCCTTTTTCCACAGCTGTCAATTATAAACTAGTTAACTCCCCATAACCAAGACTCCTTTATAGCTAATTTTATTTATACACACAAGATACTTTGGTATGCTAACATACAGATATGATATCAAATAATACTAACCCATCCCATTCAAGCCGATTACCAACCCCCAAGCCCCAAGGCAGCTCAGAAATTTAAGCAACTTAAACCATAGTAGAGTTAGAATTAGAACTTGAACCTAGGTCTTCTGATTCCAAAATAGTTCTCCTTCCCTTATACTGCATCTGTTTCAGGAAGCTTATTCATGAAAGGCTGGTGAGGGACAAAGAGCAACTAAAAAGCAGCTCAGTTTTACTTTTAAGTTTTCTTACTCAGGTAGGAAACTCATACCATGTGACCTACAATGCCTCCTGAAGTAAAATGAGAACACCCAGAGGTTAATATTGTGGTTCTGTCTACAGTTCCCAAAGATCCTTCCCTTAGGATAGTAGATAAAGCTCACTTAACTACCTGAATTGACACTTGCCAATTACAGTATTTTAACTGCACCTAGTAGAAAGTGGATTGCAATGCATCATCATTTTCAATTACTGAGGGGGAAGGGAATCTTAGGGAACTTTTTTGACCTTGGTTGATGAGAAATACTGCTTTACTTTTAGTTTGAAATTATATCACCCTAAACATAGTCTCTCTTTATTGTCACCAACACTTCAAGTAGGAAAGGAGCTAAAAAAGTAGATGCATTCTAGAGAGGTAAGGCAGGCCATACTGAGAAAGCAGATTTGTTACATGTTGATCAAAATGGGACTAAGCCACAGTGCATGTAGCCATATGAAGCCAGTAGCACAGAGGCTGAACTTTTGAAAAATGTAACTGATAGCAAGACCACAGTAAAGAAAGTCTTAGTCTGAGCTTACTCTCTTTCCAACACATCACTATGGACTGGCTTCCACTTCACTTTTTGATTCTTAACAGTAACACACATGGCCTCACTCAGGTATAGAAAGAAACGTTACTTCTCAAATGGTGAGACTATCTACCTCCAGATCTTCCTCACACATTTACACACTGTTCACCAGAAACTAAAAATGCTTCCTGGGTGTAGCCCTGAAAGACAGTGTTAGAATTATTAAAGAGCTCCTGGCTTTTTATCTGAAGTACAAAACCAATTCACTATGGACTCATAGGTGTTTTATACCATCAAAAGCAATGATCCAAAAAGACACTAACGGCAGTAGTTGGGTGGTAGGTCTCCAAACACTCACAATGAAGTCTGCCTTGCCTTTAACAATGGATTATGAGTAAAGAGGTTTGGGTTGTTCCTTAACTATAAAATGGAATTTCCACCACTGACATCACTTAACTCAAGTTTGAAAAGGATAAAATGAAATAATACAAATGAAAGCATTTTGAGAAGTAAATGTTTTGTGCAAGCTATGGTTATTATCACTCAGAATTGCTTACATGCTTTGTTAACTGAGGAGTAAGGAGAGAGAAAGTTGTTCAGAGGCAGCAATATAACGAGAGGAGAGGATTCTTAAATATGCCAATTCTAATTCCAAATAGTTGCTCCTGCTTCTATATAGTTATGTGGAAAACTGAGTTTCTGAGAAGTGAATCATTTTAAGGATAGTTTGAGTACTCTGTATTAAGAGGAATCCAATGTACATTTTTAAGTGTTTTGGGGAGCATAAATTATTCCCTAATTTATTCATTTGGAATGTCTCCACTTTTATATACTTCATATTAAAAAAAAAACCTTTGCTGTGTTCTAAAAAGAGGGCTCTATCCTTTTAGATATGAGACAATATTGGTGGAGATCAATTTCAATGGTAACTGTTAGGGAAAGTCCAGGACTTTTAGAGCATGCAATCAAAGCCCATTTATTGTCTCAACAAAGCAGACAGGGGTTGTCTCCTCAGGGTAGAGGAGAATGTAAGCACAGAGTAATGCTGTCCACCTTCATTGCTGGACTTCTATGCCAGGCAAAATCAACAGCAAACCAGCAAGACAGGGTCCCCAATTCCAAGGAACTTGTAGTCCAAGAACAAAAGATGAACAAATAAAATACTAACTTACCAACTCTCCATTTATGCTCCAAAACCCAAGATAAGGCCTGCTGACTCCAAAAGTGCCAAGAGGCACTGTTTCTCTTACTGTCACTCTCCCTCAGCCCAGGGAAAGTCTCTGTGAGAGATGAGACTAAGGAGATGACAAAGAAAGTGAGGAAGGGGCCTGGCACACAAAATGTGAAAACCCATCAGTAAGTCAGTAATGCAATCATCATTTAGTAGAGATAAAAACAGTTCATGAGGACTTTCAGTAGTCCTCTTTCCAGGATACGGATAAAGAAGTACAGGAAAGCCTAGCAGCATGACTCAAATGCCTGCAGGAAGACAGAGCAAATCAGAATCAATCCTCAAACCCCTTACTTGGCCCAAAGAGCCAAGGCTGAGGTAGATGGTGATTACTCCTCACCTTTAGTTTCTCCACCCCTAGACTGGGCAAGATGACAGCTCAATTAGCTCTAATTAAGCACAAGTTCCATGTAGAGATGTCCTACTTGGATGGCTGGATCTGAGCCATGTGAATTCAAGTATAAAATGTGCGTCTTAAAACCATCTCTTCCAAGTAATGCACCCCTTGAAACGGCTCTCACCCTCACACTGCAGCTTAGTGCTGCCTCAACAAAGTCTTACATTAAAGCAATTTACTTGCTATTACTTCATTATCTTTCCTATTTAAAGCCAGCAGACCAGAGGGAAATTGGACTAAATGTCAAATCAGCAGTCAGCCCCAGAAAACCCAGCCAGCAAGCACAGGGACAGCTGAGCTTAGAGTACCCAGCTGGCTCTCAGGAGGGAAACTGGCACTAGGTATAAAGAAAAGAAGGACCCATAAATCTGTGACTATTCTGTATTTACAGCTTGTTTGTTTAGTGGGGGGAGGTAGTACAGAATGGTATGAACAAAGACTGCTGATCTTACATTTGAAGACCTGGGTTCAAATATCAGTTGTGCCCTTTTATTTGCTATGGTTGTGCCCTTTTATTTGCTATACAACTCTCAGCAAGTCACACCAACTTTCTAAGGCTGCTTCTTCAACTATAAAATGAGAAGGTTGAGTGAGATCAGTACTACTAATTCCATAACCC